GACTGGAGTGCAGTGGCCGCTCCCAGCCACCGCAGCCTCGACCTGCTGGGCTCTGGTGATCCTTCCACCTTAGCCTTCCAAGTAGCTGAAGTAGCTGGAACTACAGGCGCGCGCTACCACGCCCGGTTAATTTTTGATTTATTATAGAGATGAGGTCTTGCCAAGTTGCCCAGGTGGGTTTCGAACCTGCGGGCTCAGGCAATCCACTCACCTCAGCCTCCCAAAGGCGCGGGATTACAGGCTGAGCCACCAAGCCTGGCTCTAGTTTTTGATTCATTGTAGAGATGAGGTCTTGCCAAGTTGCCCGGTTGGGTCTGGAACCCACAGGCTCAGACAATTCACGCGCCTCGGCCTCCCAAAGTGCTGGGATTACAGACTGAGCCACCAAGCCCAGCCTAGAGGTGTGGTTTTTGTAGAGATGGATTCTATGTTGCCCAGGCGGGTATCGAACTCCCAGGTTCAAGCAATCCTCTTGCCTCAGCCTCTCAAAGTTCTAGGATTACAAGTGTGAGCCACCATGTCCAGCCTGAATGTGTTCTTTTGGGCTTGGGCTCATCTTGGTTCTGGGCAGGCCTGGCTTCATGGTTGGGGAAGGAGGGAACTTGTCCTGATTACAGCTGGGCACACAGCCGGCACTCCAGAGAATGTGACCCGATGTCACCCCTTGAAGAGACACACATCATACAATTGGAGAGGAGTGCACTGTGCGATACAGATAGTAAGTGTGGAAGCTGCCTACAGAGAGGTGCCACTGGAAGGGTGAGAATGTGATCAGAAGGGTGGAGTGAGCCCTTGAAGGATGGCACGAAGCTGGAGCACGCTGGGCTGAGAGATAGGGGCACACCCACAAGTGTCGGACCAGGCAGAAGGTGGAGGGGCAGGGTGGGGCTGGAGGAGGCAGGAGAGGTCAGTCGAGGAGGCTAGCTTTCAGGAGTGAGAAAACGCAGGAGCAGGTGCAGGGAGTGAGTCCAGGATAGCAGCAGGGAAGTGCCTCCCGATAATCTCTATACTGCTGGTGGACAGGCACAGGTGGAAGTGAGAAAAGTCACAGCAGAGAAGCCAGCCAGACAGGTGAAGACATGCCAGCAGCGAGGGTATGAGGAGATGCACACCAGGCCAGAGGCGGGTGGGGACAAAACCAAGGTGGGTGAGAGAGCTGTTTCTGATGCCTGAGGCCAGGGGCCTGCAGGGCTTGGGGTTTTGAGCCATGCTGGGAGAGGAGCCGCTGTCTCACTGCCAGAGAGAGGCAGTTATGTAGGAAATGTTCTTGACAGACCAGTACCCTCTCCAAAATATCCCCTCTACGATGCTCAGATCTCTCGGGTTCTTCCAGGCGAATACCCTTGGTTCCTCCTCTGAAAACACAGCTCTCAAAACCGCCCCGTCCTCACTCCTTGTCTCCCCCCTCGTGCCTGGCATCCAAGCAACGCTGTTCTAGCTGTCGTCAGGTGGATGGGGACGGGAACCTGTGTGTCATCCCCTCCCTGGGTCAGCACCACTCTGTTCACAGCCTATCTCTGCCACTCACAAGCTGAGAGACTGACCTTTAAGGACATGACCTTTCTGATCCTCTACTTCCTTGTCTGTAAAACAGTGATAATAATAAGACCTCCCTCACAATGTTAGCAAGGGATGGGGTGATATGTCAATAAAAAGCTAGGCTGGGCATGGAGTCTGTAATCCCAGCACTTTGGGAGGCCGAGGTGAGAGGATTGCCTGAGCCCACGGGTTCAAGACCAGCCTGGGCAACTTGGTGAGACCTCGTCTCTACAATAAATCACAAAAACAAGCCTGGCATGGTGGCGTGTGCCTGTAGTTCAGCTGCTTGGAAGGCTGAGGCGGAAGGACCACCTGAGCCCAGCAGGTCGTGGACCAGTGGCATGAACATGCCACTGCACTCCAGCCTGAGCAACAGAGTGAGATTCCGACTCAAAAAATAAAAATTAAATTATAAAAAACTTAGCACAATGTCTGACACATACTAAGTGTAAAATAAATAAGTGCTATTATAATTGATGTAAGGCCAGGCAGGTGACTGACGTCTGTAATCCCAGCACTTTGGGAGGCGGAGATAAGAGGATTGCCTGAGTCCAGGGGTTCAACACCAGCCTGGGCAACTTGGCGAGACCGCATCTCTTCAATAAATCAAAAAATTAGCAGGGCGTGGTGGTACATGCCTGTAATTCCAGCTAGTTGGAAGGCTGAGGCAGAAGGATCACCCGAGCCCAGCAGGTCAAGGCCCGGTGGTGTGAGCGTGCCACTGCGCTCCAGCCTGGGCGACAAAGTGAGACTCCAACTCAAAAATTAAATAAATAAATAAATAAATAAGAGCCATTATTATTGATGTAGCCCAGCTTTCCCTCTTTTTTATTTTGTACTTTTTTAAACAGTCAGATCCCAAGAACTGCACAGAACTTGGGGTCAATAAAAACCTCTTAGATAGTTTGTAAAAACCAAGCCAAACAAGGTCTTCCCTGTTGCAAATCCGTGCACATAACTGTTTCTTTTTTTTTTTTTTTGAGTTGGAGTCTCACTCTGTCGCCCAGGCTGGAGGGCAGTGGCACGCTCCTGGCCACCGCAGCCTCGACCTGCTGGGCTCCGGTGATCCTCCCACCTCAGCCTTCCAACTACAGGCACGGACTACCATGCCCAGCTAATTTGCCCAGGCACATCTTGAACACACAGGCTCAGGCAATCCACTCGCCTTGGCCTCCCAAAGTGCTGAGATGACAGGCTGAGCCACCAAGCCCAGCCTTGTTTTTATCCTAAATACAGAACTTACCTAAATACAGAACTTACCTTGTTTCTAACCTAAATACATAACTTTGATAACTGGCATCTGGTTTATTCCCATCAGCGCTGCAGGCTGTTGAGATGGTTTTACATCTTGAGCAGTAATAACTGCCACCATTCAACGGACACATACTAAGCACTGATGCTGCGAGCTGTTCTCTCACTCTTGTCTCATTGAGTCCTCCCAACAACCCATTGAAGACAGTACTATTATTCTAGTTTGTTTTGTTTTGTGTTTTTTTTTTTTTGAGTCGGAGTCTCACTCTGTCGCCCAGACTGCAGTGCAGTGGCCGCTCCCGGCCACCGCAGCCTCGACCTGCTGGGCTCCGGCAATCCTTCCGCCTCAGCCTTCTAAGTAGCTGGAACTACAGGCGCGCACCACCACACCTGGCTATTTTTTATTTATAGTGGAGATGAGGTCTCGCCAAGTTGCCCAGGCAGGTCTGGAACCCCGGGGTCAGGCAATTCACTCACCTCGGCCTCCCAAAGTGCTGGGATTACAGGCTGAGCCACCGAGCCCGGCCAGGCCTTACTCTTAACCCCTGTGCTAATTAGATGCAGGCAGAGGGAAGTCAGATGCTTTCCCTGGATGGCTGAAGCCCCCATGACTCTGATGCTTCCAACTCTACGTGAGAGCTCCAAGGGAGGCCTGTGGCTCAAAACACACATTCTTTGGAAAGAGGATCGCTGGGAAGACGCATGACCTCAAATAACTATTCACTCAGTTGCGATCTCTGCTTTGTTCATACTCTGTCCCCTGCGTGTGTCATCGTGACTGGCACAAAGGAAATCCTTGTAGATCGGATGAGTTATGGAGAAGGAGGAGAAGGCAAAGAAAGAGGGACTACATAGGGAAAGGGTGGAAGGAAGGCGAAAGCAAAACCGAGGGGTGAGGCTAGGAGGGGGTGGGCGGAGGAGATCCCCTCCTAAGGCTCACATCCACCTCGAGCAAATGCACCTATGAGAGTCCCGAGGACCTCCGTATTGCCCTCCCCCAATCCATGATCCTGGCTAGTCTTGGTTTGGGGAGCGTCCTCTCGTCCCCAGGAGCTAAGGGCCAGAAGCCCACCCCAGCCCTGCCTGATCCCCTGCCCGGTGCCATCGGAAGTGGGCTCTGGGCTCTGTCCCATCCTGCGAGCCTTCCTCAGTTTCCTGCGGTGGCCTCACAGCTCAGTGCGACCTTCCTGTCCACTTCCTCTTCCTGCCTCCACCTCCAGTGCCCTGAAGATGAGGCCGTGGGGAGCCAGGACCCTAGCCAGGCCTCATCCATCACACCTCGGCTAGCTTCTCCAAGCGCGGGGCCTGTTTCCTGCCCGGGAGCCCCAAGGAAGGGGGCCTCGGCACCAGCTGCTCCTGACACCTTTGCCTTGGAGGTGGCAAGTGAGGACAGAGGCCAGAGTCTGCCACAGGACGGTGACTCAACTCGGGAATGTGCCACTAGGTAGAGGTAGGAGCAGCCAGGCCTGCGCCACACTCGGGTAACTTCGGCGGAACTCTTACAGTAAACATCCCCCCTTCTCTTTCCCCGGGCAGGGAGCTTGCCCCCAGCACCCTGCCAAGGGGCTGGAAGGGCGTCTGCCCCCCATCTGCTCAGGCTTCCGACTCCCGGGCCAGGCTCGGCTCCTCGGGGCTCCGGGAAGGGCCGAAGAGGTCATCGTGCGACCTGCCCCGGCTCGCAGCGCTTCTGCCCGCTGGGTGGATCCGGGCCAGCGACTCCTTTGACCTCGCGGGGACCCCACTTCACAGGTGCGGAAGCGGAGGCTCGAGAAAGTTAAGTGGTTTGGCCGGATCGCCGCGGCCAGGAGCGCAACGCAGCCCGGAGGCGGACTCCCCAAACGGTGCTCCGAGCCACCGCTCTCCGGGGGCGCGGGGCGGCCCG